CCCCGGGTACACACAGCTGCGGTAGAGGTAACTGCCAGTGGCACGTAGCGGATAAGAGCCTGCTGTGAAGGGGCGGAGCAGATCTGGGAAGTACGGATGGAATCCGTGCAGGATGAATGGACGGATGACACCGTGGAGAGATAGCGAAGTCAGGCAGGCCAGGTTGGTAACAACGGAGGCGAAACGGTACAGAGCAGTAGGCAGAGAGTAATCGGGTCACGGGCCAGGTTCAGCAGCAGGAGGTCAGATAATCAGGAACAGGTAGAATAGAAGTCAAGATGAGCCAAGGGTCAGGGCAGGAGACGGTCAACAGCAATCAGGGTCGGGCTAGGTTGGCAACAAGGCAATCTCAGGAACAGAACAAGCAGGAACAACAGGAACAAGACCTTACGGCAATTTGAGCATTGCAAGGGGTCAATTTAAATAGTGCACCCTGCGTTGTCATTGGTGCCAGGCGTGTGTCCGCATGCACGGCCACGATTGTTGCTGGGGCCGCCTATGTCCTAGCGCCCGCATGCTGGTGCGCATTGGTATTTCGCGCATGCGCAGACTCGTGCGCCGCGGCGGACCTTGAGATCCCTGACATCTATGCACTAAAGAGAATTGTGGGAGCAGCATAAACAATTACTACATAAACCATAATGTAATTGAATGTTCTTTTAAAATTACCTTTTTCTAAATGTCCTTCAGTGTTACTATTTTCTATAAAATTCAGCTACTCCCAAGGGGTTAATCAATTCTAAATGGATGCAGACCCTACAACTTTCCTCATTGGAACACTGCACATGCATCAGCTGATTTCTAATGAAAAAGTAATTCTCATTCAGATTCATTCTGCACACAACAAACAATTTTTTTTCTTCAGGGCAGAAACAGGTAGAAAACATAAATATAATTTTAATGTACAGTACATCAATCACCCACTGCATTCAGCAATGTAGAGGGAAGGGTAGGCAGCAGGTGAGGGAAACCCTACAACCAGAGGGAATACAGCAGTACAATGAAATGGCCATAGGTTGTCTGACCTTTTTGGGGCTATGGCTATGACAAGAGGAGTCCCTGTCACTATGAGAATATAGGAAAATGTGACAAAAGATTCACATTTAGGGTTAAAGCAAAGTTCCAGATTGCAGTTTCTGAGCAGAGAAAGCTGTGATTTTTGCTTTCTCCAGATTCTGTAATTTTGGATTGGTGTTTTCAATCCTGTGTCTTGGTTTTTCCAGATGCCTGCAACTTCTCTGAGTGCCTAGGTGTGCAGGGCTGTTATATACACAGGTCTGAGGAAAGGCCCCAGACTTTGAGTAGGGACAAAACACGTGGGAGAAAAGTACATACAGAAGAGCACATGGAAGGGGATATCGATGGTAAAGACATCAGAGGATAAGTTGATAATAACTTTTCAATTTGCTCCCATTGTGTTTGCGGTGCATTGTGAAACCAGTCTAGCAATCTTGTGGTGCAGACAATATGAACAGCCTGTATCCTTTGCTACTGTGACCCCACATGCTCCAACCTGCATCAAGTGCTTTTGCAATCCCAAGCACTCCAGCTCCTGTAATCCTGTACACTTCAGCCTCCCATGTGCCTGTGCACTCCAGCTTGCATTCAGTGCTCCATGTGACCCCATGCACTCCAGATTTATATGCTCCTGTGATGCCATGCAGTCCAACTAACATCCTGTGTTCCTGTGTCACCCAATGCACTCAGTCTGCCAACCAGTGTTCCCAATTAATCTCCAAATACCCCAGTACTGCTAAAGGATGTTGTGCCTGTGTTCTAGTGTCACAGCATCCCTGTCAGTCTAAAACGACTGTCTCTCTTACTCCTGTTATACCAGCACTCCAGTGCTACAAACAAACAAACCTCTCCCCATTACCTGTAGCTGTCTGTTCGGCTGAGTTAGAGAACTGCAATCTGGGAACTGACAGTAGCAAAACCCTTCCCCTAATTGGGTGCTTTAAAGAATACCAGGCTCTTGGGCTAGTTATTAATGGACTTAAAAAAAAGGTGTCCCTTTATTTGGATGATTTGCTTATTTATTTCGGGGTTCCACAATCCTCTCTTCTCAAACTGTTGAGTGTTATTACAGATTTACATTTTTCAGGCTTCAAGGTGAAATGGGAAAAATCCATTATTTTCCTCCTGAATCCAGGAGTATCCATTCACAAAATCTTACCCTCTTTAGGTAGTAAATGCTTTTAGGTACTTATTGTTTACATTCTACAACCCATTCAAAGATATATTGACAAAAATCTAACCTCTCTTTATTAACGGGCTTAAAAACACTCTACTGGGAAGGATGAATATTTTTAAATGATTTTTCTGCTACTTTTCCTTATGTTCTTGGAAATTCCCCAGTCTATGTCTCTAAATGCCACTTTCTAGACATTGAATCCTTGTTACTGTACTTCATTTGGGAGGGTAGGCCTACTAGAATAGCTAAGGATACTTTGCAGTTGCCAACTTTGGAGGGAAGTATAGCCATGCCCAACCTGCAGACATATAACTTTGCCTCTGAGCTATATCATTCTCACTGGTGGTTTTATCCAGAGACAAATAATGGGGCCACTGCACCGGAGGCAGCAATTCTTACATCCTGCAAAATCTTGTTCACAGGCAATCAACTCAAATCGGGAGGGTACCAAAAAATTACAATGACACTCTTTATTTTTAGAACCTCCCTTTGGTTGATGCTGGAAGGTCTGGCAGATTCTCTCCTAACACTCCCTTATGGCAGAATCCATGGCTCCAAGAGAGGATGATCTGTTCTGGACTACGTATGGCATTAAAAGTGTTACACACTTGTATAATCTGGGGACTTTCAAATCCTTTCTAGACTTTCAACGGGATTATATTATGCCAAACACAACATTCTGTAGATATTTACAAATTTGTCCCACAGCTGCTGCTCAGTATAGACTTCTTAATATATTCTTTCAAGTCTCTGAGCTTGAAAAATTACTCTCACAACCGGGGAATTCCAAACTTATTTCCACATATTATACTTCCCTGATTCATTCCAGGACTAAATGTCTTAACCAGACCAAATCAAGTTGAAAGAGGGATGTGCCTTATTTGACAGAGGAAGTGTGGCAGGAAGGTTTACAATCTCCTATGGCTATCTCTGCTCAAGATAGAGTTGTACAAACAAAATTCTTAAATTGCTCATATTATACTGGGTTGACTTCCTTCTCCCACTTGCTCTGGGGTGGTAGGCTCAATTTACCATATGGTTTGGGAATGCTCACCTATACGTGTCTTTTGGTCCGAGGTCACACATTTTGCCACTATTATTCTTCAGCTCCCTTATATAAGTAATCCTTTACATTGCTTGTTAGGCTATGTGGAGGATGACACTCTAACGGGACGAAAACACATCTACGCCTACTGCTTTTCTATGCTCAGAAATCTACTGACTCCCCCTCTTTATCTTCATGGCTTAATTTTGTTAATCAGGTGATTCTAGAATAGTTTTATGTGACTGAAGGTTCACTGCAGTACTGTTTAATGTCATTGGCTATGAGGTATTTTAGTATAATTGCAAGTTTGGGCCTTATGTGATGATTTATCTATTATGCTGTGTTTAGGACCTGGAACGTTTATAACTGGTCCTTTTATGGCATAATGTTGTTTGTTTCTGCTCTGTAAATTTCTGAGCTATGTCTCAGCTTTGTACCTTTGTCGGTTTATTTTACTCTATTTTTTTTGTATGCTGAAAACGAGAAACAAAAATCAACAAAAAATTACCATAAAAAAAGGCTTCTCCTTAGACGCTGTTCCTCAGCCCTTCTAAGAGTTCTTACAACTGCTTCCCTCTTACCTACAGCCTCTCTGTATCTCTATAAGGTTCCCTTCCTTGGGCTAGCCCCTATTGCTGATTCTATTTCAAAATTCCTCAAAGCCAAAATTCCCCCCAAAAGCAAGCACCTCTTCCCTCAAGCAATACCCTAAAAAACTCTTTCCACCACCCCTAATCAAAAATTCCCACCAGAGAAAAAAATTGCCCTCCCACAGCAAAAACCGTCAAAAGCAAACATCCTCCATCGCTCAAGTAATACTTTCCAAATGCAAATACCCATAGAGAAACATCCTAGTAAAAATCCCCCCAGAAAATTACTCTCCTCCTATAATCACAAATCAGACCCCCCCCCCTGAAAAAAACCAAACCCCCTAGGAGAAAATTCTATCCATTCCATTAAAAAAAAGAACAGACCCTAGACACAGCTACACAGGGATCCAAAGAAATCCTCTTTATGTAGAGTCAATAAAGTGTGCTTACCACTGGATCTTGGAAGCAGGAGAGGCCTAAATCGCAGGACACTAAGGGCAGTCCTGCCTAGAAGTAATATAGTGGGCAGGAGTGTGGCACATTTGCACTACAGCTGCAGGTTACAAATGCTGATTTTAAAAATAAGTATCATGATGCCAGGGCCTAGGATCCTCAAAGAGCAACATGGGGCATGTGCCCCAGGTGTCTGATACAAGCAACACCACAGCTGAGATATAAATGTAGTTATATAAAAGAATTTCATAATTAGGCTGGGGTTTCCTACAATTTAGTTTAACCACCTCCCCTCCACCCTATAGAAGAAGTACTGCTACAGGGCGGAAGGGCTGCGCAAAATCATATATAAAGTATATATAAGGCGATCTGCTTTTCCAGGTAGGGGGTGTGCCGCCCTACCCGCGCAGCCTTCAGCGGCTACAGATATCAGTCACCGATCGCTGAGTAACACTGACAAGGCAGAGACCTGTCTGTAAACAACACAGGTCTCTCTCCTGCCACCAAGAACATGCTGCTGTGTATTTCTCTGTACAGCAGAGAGATACACAGCAGCATTTTTCCCTAGTAAAAAATACACAGCACATTATAAAAAACAGCACACAGTTAACCCTTTGATTGCCCCAAATGTTAAAACCAGTGTTATTAGTATAGTGCCAGTGCTTTTTATTAGCACTGATCACTGTATTAGTGTCATTGGGATGTCAGTGGCAGTTAGTCAGTTCCCACCCAGTGTCAGAAAACCTGCCGCAGTCCTGCTGTCCCACTATAAGTCGCTGATTGCCACCATTACGAGTATAAAAAAATAAAAATTCCAATATATATACTGCCATTTGTAGATGCTATAACTTTCACATAAGCCAATTAATTTACATATATTGGGATTTTTTTTTAGCAAAGACACAAACAAGTAGCAGAATACATTTTGGCCTACGTTTATGACAAAATTAGATTTTTTACATTTCTTTTACTGAATATGTTTTATAGCAAAAAGTAAAAAAATTAAAAATGCACAGGTGATGAAATACCACCAATTTGTGGGGAAAAAAGGGACATAAATGTCATTGCATTTATGTACAGTGTTGCATGACCGCGCATTGTCAGTTAAAGTACTACAGCACCGTATCGCACAAAATTGCCTGGTCAGGAAGGGCGGTAAATCCTCTACAGGGCAAGTGGTTAAAGAGAAAGGTTATGATCATAAAGAGCTGAATAAAGACTAAAACACAGAAACTGCAAAGACCCCTTCACATTGTTGCACCACTGTAAGGTAACCTAACACGTGTTACTGCAACACACTATAATGCATCATGGTGTCAGTCATTTTAAAACTAGCAGAATTATCAGTAGGGAGAGTTTGGCATGAAAAATGCTCCCCAGCTTCGTTTTATATTAGAGCACAAAGCAACATTAGTTAAGTAAAGCAAAGTGATTGTCAAACAAAGATTTAACTCATCACTTTTTTTGTTTTTGTTGTAAAGGGTATAGTACGGAAAGTAGAGATTCCTGCAGGAAATTATACATAGTAAGGAACATTTTGCAGCTTGGTCAAACTTTAACCCTTTTTTTAGCAGATGTGCCAAAGTTGACTGTGAACATGATGGGAATGAAGCATTACTGTAGCAGAAAACAAGCTGTCAAAAGTAGTAACCTGTAGGCCTTCTGGTTTCCAGACCAATAAACACATCATGGAATTAAAGAGACAGATAACTAGTAGGCAGCCACACATGCTAGCTTTGGAGCAAAGTGGGGACATTCTGACACTGTGACACATAATAATAGGTTATCATTTACATGGCATTGGCTCTTGGTGTAGATATATCATACAATCGGTATTGTCTTGGTATAGAATTTATTTAGGCACAGAGTAACCTCAATAGCCTCTTCAAAAATTACTGGAATTTAATTCAAATGCTACAAAACTGGCAATTTTTTACTGCTGATTCCTCAGCAATGAATGTATAAATTTGGAAAATAAAATTAATTGTTGCAGTGTCTCAGTATGCTAAAAAAAAAAAACATAATCATTTCCAAAATATTCATTTTAAGCAATGACACACTATTCGAGTTGGCTGAACTAGCATAAAAATTACTTGTTTATTAAATTATCCTAAAAATTTTATTTTGACGGCAAACTCTTTAAGCGTATATATTATAATTACTGAAAAGCAAATAGGAGTTTAGAGCACATTACATAACATATTGGAAACTTGTTTTTTTATTTCTAATGTTACAAGATTAAGGGCAATTTGCATTTTCTTTAATTGTTGCTCTTTGAAAACCTTAGGTATAACAAGAGGTAGAATCAGCAAATAAATATTAAATATGAATATTATTAGGAACCTAAAGCTATATCTTACATCTGCCTTATGCTATCTTTTGAAAAACCTTGTACAAAAATATAGAAACTAAAGCATATGCTGTCTTTTTTCAACAGATGTACTGAACAGAAGGCTTTTAAGATGTTGGAGCTTTAGATAAAAAAAAAAAGAAAAAAAATTCACCTACTTTCATATCATCACAACAAATACAAAAAACTATGGTTTTAAAACAGGAAAATCTGTAGAACGTACAGGAACATAGTAAATAGTTTTTAAATGGATATTTTAAGCTGTGTGCAAATACTTTATCTTCTTGTCAATCTTTCATGAACTTGTAACCAATATGACTTATTGATCAGTTGTTGAATATATGGTATTTCAATGCCTCAGATAATGTAAATAAGTATTACCTCAAGTAGAAAATTAATGTAAAAACCCAACTTTACATTTTCTCTTAAGTTATTTCAGTAAACACACATTGCAAGAAATATTGCGAATTTCCCAGAAAAACATTAACTGCCTTGACTAAAGTGGCTATTAAAGTGGAACTTTACCCATAACAATTTTATAAAATAATGTTCTTTAGTAAGAAATATTCCACATGAATAAATATGCTACCAAAATTAGTGTGTGCTGTCAATTGCTTCCAGCATTGTTCCTTGTTTCTTTCTTTCTGCCATTTTGCTGAATCCCAGAGCCCCTGAGTAGCAGTAAATCTTTAGGTTGTCAGCAGATCAGCCTGTACATTTTTGGCACAGTGCTAAAAAATAAAGAGCAACTGAGCTTGTTCCGAGCAGGTTGAGACAGTGTATTACTGGATTTCAAACAGTATAGGCTCCTATTTATAATGTTTTACATAGCTATACCTGTAAAAGAGGCCAGCGTGAAGTGATACAGTAGGAATTCATTTTTGACTAAAGTTCCACTTTAATGAAATGTTCCACAAACAGCTTTGTGCAAAGTGGATCAATTTCCTGGATACAGGAAATGTCTGTATACACATAAAATCCAATATCATTATTATAGCAGAAGTGAAGGCTACAATCTGCATTTTTCTTGAAAATCCTTAAGGCTAGGTTCACACCTATGCAGGTTGTGTTTGACTAGTTTCTGCATTGCGTTTTGCATTGCGTTTTTGCACCTGCATTTTTGACGTGTTTTGATGCATTTTGCGTTTCGTGTTTTTTGCCCATTTTTAAATTTTTCTTCTTGCTAGGCAGATTTAAAATGCAAAACACATCAAAAACGCCTCAAGACCGCATTAAAAATGCAGCAAAAACACACTACATGCTTTTCTGCAGTGTTTCCATTGAAATCTATAGAACCAAAAACACAACTTTTTGTGTTAAAAAAAAAGTCCCTGACCCTTTCCAAAAAATACATTGGTGAAAACGTGGAGACATGTCCCATAAGAAATCATGTTAAATGCACTACTGCGTTTCTGCAAAACACAAACCGCTGTGGAAAACGCTTAGGTGTGAACCTATGGTAAAACATTACGTGTTTATATATGGATCTAAAATGCTTTACAGAAATATTTTGGGGTTTTAAATTGTGATTTATCCATGACAGTTATTGCACAATTCAGTTTCAGTGCAATGCAATTTCAACATTTCTTTTCCTTTCTTTCTTTCTTTCTTTCTTTCTTTCTTTCTTTCTTTCTTTCTTTCTTTCTCTTCATTACTGATTAGGGATGAGCTGAGTATTTACATTTACATTGGGGTGTTCAGCATAGAGAAACATAACAGCATCCTGCTGTCTTTGGTTGCTAAGAAAAAAAAACAGATATGAAAGGATGTAATGTTCCCAATTGGTATTGCCAGGATTGTATTTAACACAAGGCAAACAAGGCATTTGCCTAGGGCGGCATTTTTCAGGGGGGCAGCAGCCTCGTACAGGGGGACAGCTGCATTTTTCAGGGGGGCAGCAGCCTCATACAGGGGGGCAGTGGCATTTTTCAGGGAGGGCAGCACTGCTGCCCAAAGGAAGGGATGGAAGAAGGGACACACGCAGCATGGGGACCAGGTGGGATCTGAGAGAAGCTGCGGGCTGCTTGATGGTGTATGCAGAGCCTGACTCTTGTTTCCGGGGATGTCGAGCTGTGAAGGTGAGTGTCTTCTCTCTCGCAGGGTCGGAGGGGTGTTGCCAGTGTATGGGGGTGGTGGTAGTAGAAGACTCTCTTGGGTGGGGGTGGGTTGCTGGGGTGTTGTTCGTCAATGTCAGGCTCTCTTCATGGGGGAGAGGGTGCTGCTTGGTGTCGAGGTCTCTCCATGGGGGGGGAGCAAATTTTTGTGTTGCCTAGGGCAGCTCGAAACCTAAATACACCCCTGGGTATTGCTTTAGATACCTCCAATTACAACATGCCAGTCTATTATACCTCTCAGAGGCTCCATCACATCAATCCCACTCTTTTTCCACTCCATAACAAATGTTGCAATGCCACAGGCACTTTTTATCATAGCATATGGAGCTGCCATTTGTTTTCTGATTGTTGGCAACAAGTCACAACCAGGTTGGTTAAAGCACTAACAATACAAGTGACTCTGGATGCTATTGTTCTATTGTTGAGTATTTACAATTCTCTCTTTTATTTCCAAACATACTAGACTATTACCAGTCTTTATGTCCTGATATACCAGAAGGAAAATGATCCTCAAATGGAAACTTTCTACCCAACCCTTTAAGGTTGGTGCTTAGCTAATAGAACTGTGCTTCCCCTGTATCAATTGACCTATATGAGCAGAGGCTGCCCAGCAAAATATGATAAATTTTGGTCTGCATGGTTGGATTCCATTTGATCCTCCTTTCTTTTACTTTCTGATGTGGATCTACATTGCTGTATGGTGTGATTAACAGTGGATGTTCATAATGGGATATTGTCAAATTTGTCAAAAACTGTGTTTATGTTTCTATTTACACTTTGCATTTTTTTTTGTGAATAAGGGGGGACGTATCTGGGTGCCGGGGTGCAGGGGTGTTCCAGATTCCAATAAGCTCCCTGCTCACAGGCCCCCACAACAATTGAATGGAAGAGACCCTGGTCCTCATCAACATAAGGACAAGGTGTTTTACATATGGGTCCTCTGTCAAGGTACCCCCTATATTGAAGGCATGTGGCATAGTATGGTTAATGAAGGGGTGCACACTCATCACCCCACTTTCCTGGCCTGCCAGGCTGCATACCCAGATAAAGGAATGGTATAGAATTTGGTGGGGAACCTCACCCCATTTTTTGTTGTTGTGTGAAGGTCTCCCATTAATATTTACACTAGACCTTCATCAAGGATAAGGGTGTGATATAGATGAAGGAAATTTCTGGCCACTTTCTTTACAAATTGAAGTAAGTGTCAGGAAGCTATCATTGTTCCAGCAATATAAACACACTTTTTCTGTTTAAATGTCTGTTTTTCTGTAGTAGGCTGCATATATATCACACAGG